GGTGGCAGTCCGAGGCAGCATCTAAGGACTCCAGGACGACCCCAAGCCGTGACCACAACTCGGATGTGTACACGCTCCCTCCAGGGCGTTGACTCCAGACCGTGGATAACAACAAGAATCCTGACGCCGGCCATGACCCCAGACTCAGAGTTCAGAACATTCTCTCGGGATCACACCATCACATCCACTTCTGACCTCCAGACCTTGAATGACAATCCTGATTTCGAACTCTCAACTGAGCTCCAGACTCAGACCTTGGGCCACACTCCTGACTATGAGCATTTTGTTGTTGTTTTTCTTAATTCTGACAGAGTATTGCCATGTCTTTCTGGGTGGCCTGTAACTGACTACGTAGACCAGGCTGGACACTAGCTCACAGAGATCTGCCTGCCTCTGCCTCCCAAGTGTTGAGATGGATTAAAGGCATGCTCCACCAAACCACACTCCGATGAGGGCTGAACTTTTTTTTTTTTAAATTCCATTATTTATTTATTTACTTACATATGCACACATGGAGGTCAGAGGATAGAAAATTTGACAATCAGTTTTCTTTTTTCTTTTTTAGCACATGGGTTCCTAGGGATGGAATTCAGGTCCTCAGGCTTGGTGTCCTTCTCTGTGCCTTCTTCCTGAGCCAGGTCCTGCCTATTCTATCCTTCCAGCACTTGGGAGGCAAAGGCAGGTGTGTTTCTGTAAGGTGGAAGTCAGCCAGTGCTATGTAGTGAGACCATGTTTTAAGCGAACACATAAAAAAAAAATTGAAACTACATACACCTCCTTAGGGCACCTCTCTGATTTCCAAGCTGCCAGGATACTTCAAACCCAGCTCTGGACACTTAGAAACTGATTCTTGTGCCAGTTCATGGGCCAGCAAAAAAAAGTACGCTTACTCCCTTTGTACTTCTTGACTACTGTGGATCAATACAAATCAGATGGAGGGGGGCTCTCAGTGGATGATATCCCCGGACATCCAAGTCAAAACCCAGGCTGCTTTTTCCTGACCCCTGCCTCATCCTCCCGTCTTCCCTACTTCATCATTACAGTCTCCCGAGAATCCTGTGACCTGTCCATAGCTCAGGATCCCTACAACCACAGCCCTGTTGGTGCAGGCTCTGACAAAAATGGCTGCTTCCAAATCTAGGTCTGATGGGACTACAGTACGTTTAGTGCCAAGTGAGTGCTGCCCAGCCCCCCAGGCCTACCAAGAGTGGAAAGTATTGGTTTTTGTTGCTAGTAGACCAGAAAGATCTTGAACTCAGAGTTAGGCCTGCCTCTGCCTCCTTGGTGCTAGGATTAAAGGCATGGGCTACTACACGTGGCTGAGAGTGTCAAGTCTTTTATTATTATTATTTATTTTATGTATACGAGTGTTTTGCCTGTATGTAGTCTGTAGTCTGTGTTCTGTGTGTGTACCTGATGTTTGTGGAGACCAGAAGAGGGTGTCAAATCCCTTGGGACTGGAGATACAGACAGTTGTGATCTGACATGGGGGTGCTGAGACTTGAATCCAGGTGCCGGGGAAGAACCAGTGTTCTAAACTTCTGAGCCATCTCTCCAACCCGAGTGTCAGATCTTAAGGGGGCAGTTTGGACTCTCGTCTTCTGCTTCTCAAGTCAGATTAGGTGAATGAACAGTATCTTGTTGGTTTTTGTTTGTTGGTTTTTGTTTTGTTTTTTTGAGACAGAGTTTCTCTGTGCAACAGCCCTGGATCTCCTGGTACTCCCTTTGTAGACCAGGTTGACCTCGAATTTAGAAAGACGAGACAGCCTCTGCCTCCAGAGTGTTGGGATTAATGTGTGCCACCACACCCAATGTATTTTGTTTTTTGAAAGAGTCTCACTATACAGACCAGGCTAGCCTTGAACTCATAGAGATCTGCCACCCTAGTGTCTGGCATTAGCAAACAATCTCATTGTTAGTTCTCTGCTCTGGGCCTCTGTTCTCCCCTAGACCTGGAGGCCCCTTATGTGCCTTTTTCCCTAGCCCATTCCTGCCCATTCTCTCAGACCCACCTTTCTGCAGGAGCCTGTTGCCCTGACTTTCAGACCCTAACTGGACACATGCTTCATTTTACAGTGACCACTACCAGGCCCTATTGCTTTAGTTTGAAACTGTCACCAATCAAAACATACATTGGCTGGGTAGTGGTGGCTCATGCCTTTAATCCCAGCACTCGGGAGGCAGAGGTAGGCAGATCTCTGTGAGTTCGAGGCCAGCCTGTATACAGAGCTAGTTCCAGGACAGCCAGGGCTACCCTGAAAAATCTTGTCTCCAAAAACCAAACCAAAACAAGCCAAAATACAAAAACAATCCCCCAAACAAAAACCATATATTGTTATAAGTTTTACAGTGGGAAGAGGACAGATAATATGTTATTACATGTCTGCATTCAAATGTCAGGATGCTAATAGATGGGGGAGATATCCACTGTCTTTTGCTTTAATTGAAGTTCCATGGTTCATCTCTTTCTTGTATGAACATGTATGTTACAAGCATGTGTGCATGTACATGTGGATATGAGTGCATGTTATGCTCAAGTGTGTTTTTGTGGAGACCTGGTCAACCTTAGATATTATTTTCAGGAGTCATCTGTATGCTTATCTATCTATCTATCTATCTATCTATCTATCTATCTATCTATCCATCTATCTATCTATCTATTGGCTTTACAAGACAGGGTTTCTCTTAGCTTTGGAGCCTGTCCTGGCTGGCCTCGAACTCACAGAGATCCACCTGTCCCTGCCTCCTAAGTGCTGAGATTAAACGTGTGTGCCATCAACATCCAGCTTATTTTTAATTTTTAACAGGCAGTGGTGGAACATGCCTTTAATACCAGCTCTAGGAAGGCAGAAGCAGATGGATCTCTGTATTCAAGGCCAGTCTGATCTATAGAGCAAGTTCCAGGATAATGAAGGCTACATAGAGAAACCCTGCCTTGAAAAAAACAAGCAAAAAAAAATAAATGCATGTATATAATGCATGTATATAATTTATGTCTGAGTGTGGGTTTGTGTACATGAGTGCAGGTGCCTGGAGAATAAAGGAGAGGGTGTTGGATCCAACAAATATGGAGTTGCGGGAGGTTGTAAGATACCTGCTGTGGGTACTGGAAACTGAACTCTGAGTCCTCTGTAAGAGCAGTATATTCTTCTAACCCTTAACTACTGAGCCATCTCTCCAACCACCTAATTCATTTACTTTGAGACAGGGTCTCATATGGGGCATGCCAATTAGGCTAGTTTGGGTAGTTAGCAAGCCTCATAAGTCTCCCTGTCTCCACCACCCAGTGCTGGGACCACAAGCGTGTGTTACTATGACAGGCTTTCTCTCTCTCTCTCTCTCTCTCTCTCTCTCTCTCTCTCTCTCTTCCTCTCTCTCTCTTTCTCTCTTCTCTCTCTCTTTTTCAAAATAGGGCTTGCCTGCGTGATAGTGCTGGCTGTCCTGGAACTAGCTCTTGTTGACCAGGCTGGCCTCAAACTTACAGAGATCCGCCTGCCTCTGCCTCCTGAGTGCTGGGTTTAAAGGCGTGCACCACCACCACCTGACTGTGACAAGCTTTTTATGTGGGTATGAGGGATTGAAGTAAGATTCCCACACTTGTGCAGCAGGTACTTTGCCGACTAAGTCATCTCTTTGTGTCCCTGGTTCATCCCTTGTCCCCCAATGTTCATTTCAGGACCAGACTCAGACAGGCGTCAGTGTTTGATGAATGAATGGATCAGTGACTGCCCTCTTGGAACATGTGAAGTTTGAAGCAAAACAGGACTAGATGCTCCAGCAGGACAAGATGCCTGTGACCTTCTCCCAAGCCCTACCTTGACTCTCTGGACCTTGACCTGTAAGAAAACCCCACCCTGACCTGGGTTTGCTGGAACAGCTCCTATTAAAAAAAAAAAATGCCTGAAGAACTTGTCAGACCAGAGTCTGAGCGTGGGTTTGGAAATGTCAGCCATCCCTTCCTTTCACTACCTGGAAACCAGATGGGCCATCCCACCCACTGCCCCACCCACTGCCCCACCCACTGCCCCCACCCACTGCCCAAGCCGTGGGGCCTTCCCAGAGCTTCCGAGAGCCGGTGTCCGAGACCTTACTCGAAGATTCCTGAGAACTGATATGGCAGTTTTAGGAGATCCAGAACCAGAAGACTGTAAGGAGGCCGGGCTTGGTAAGGCTGGTTTTGAGATGGTGCTGCCCTCTGGTGGTGTTTGGAAGGTCGATTGTAATCTTGACCTTTCAGGCCAATTTCAATCCTTCTGGGAACCTTTGTCAGGCATCCAGATCACGCTGGATTGAGCCAGGATGCTGGCAGGGCAGAGGGGAGGGAAACACCATTTCTGCTCAGCTAGACACAATGCTGCTCCAATCACCACTGGGTGATTGTGAGTGTTGACATCAGCCCACACTGCTCTGCTCCCACCTCCCCATAAAGCCTCCATTTCCAAAACCTCACAAATTTTCTTCAATTCCTTGCTTCTTTCCTTTACCTATCCCTGATCCCCATACACACACCAGCCATCACCTATGCGCCTGGCCTCTTTTCAGGCTTCCTGGCTCTCTACTGCAGCTCCACTGACTGAATTAGCCTCCACCTTGACTGTCCTAGGGCCTAGGATGATGCCTGCCCTCTTACCTGTGAGACCTCTGCATCTCTCAACTTGGCACCCTCCACTCTTCCACTCTCCAGCCTCTGTCACATGAGGAACTCTGTTAGATTGTCCACTTCCCCAGCCTAAACTGGCCTGGCCCCTGCTCCTCCCACATGGTAGGCTCTTGCTCAACCTAATGTTTCCTGGGCTGAGACCTTTATGCTCAAAGGGCAAAGGGCTCTGGGGTACTGTTACAGTGTTTCACCCCTCAGGCTGGCCTTGAACGTGAGACAATCTTCCTGTTTCTGCTTCCTCAGAGATGGGAAACAATTACTACCTCTACACTTCCCTAGTGCAGGGAATAGAATTTAGGGCCTTTCAGGGCTGGAGAGAGGGTTCAGTGGTTAAGAGCGCCGCTGCTGTCTTCTAGAGCACCTGGGTTTGACCCCCAGCACCCACAGGCAATTCACAACTTCCTGTAACTCCAGTTCCATCTTCTGACCTCCACAGGCACCAGACACTCACATGGCGCACATACATACTGTGGGCAAAACAAACATACACATGAAATGACATGAAATAAAATAAAAACAAATTAATAAAGAAGGAATTTAGGACCTTTCACATGTAAGGCAGTGCCCTAGCACTGAGAACTAGTTTGTTTGTTTTACAATGTATGTGTGTGTGTGGAGAGAGACAGAGAAAGTTTCTCTTTGTAACAGCCCTGGCTATCCTGGAACTCACTTTGTAGACCAGCCTGGTCTCAAGCTCACAGAGATCCGCCTGCCTCTGCCTCCCAAGTGCTGGGATTAAAGTTGTGCAATACCACTACCCGACTTTTTCTTTTCCGTTTTTTAAAGAGGCTCTCATTAGCCTGGTCTACAGAGCGAGTGCCAGGACAGGCTTCAAAGCTACACAGAGAAACCCTGTCTCGAAAAAATAAAAAACAAAACAATAAGAAGGCCTCACTGTGTCATGTCGCTGTCTGACCTGAAACTTACTATGAAGCAGGTTTGTCTTGAATTCACAGAGTCCCCTCCTTCTGCCTCCCGAGTAGTGCTTGGATGAAAGGCATGCTACTACTGGGGATGTCAGTTTGACACACAAACTAGAGGGGACCTTAATTGACTTTATATGATCTGGCTGGGAGGCAATTTTTAGTGGTTGAAAGGGGAGGGCCCAGCCCACTGTGGGTATGGCCATGGTTGTTCTGGGTTCTGTAAGAAAGCAGGCTGGGCAAGCCATGAGATACAAACCAAAAACAGGACCCCTCCATAGCCTCGACATCAGTTCCTGCCTCCAGGACTCTGCCCTGTTTGAGCTCCTGTCCTGACTTCTTCCAATGATGAACAGCGCTGTGAAGTGTGAGTCAAATAAACCCTTGCCTCCCCAGCTTGCTTTTGGTCGTGGTGTTTTGTCACAGCAATAGAAACCAAAAGACATGTGGCATAAAAATTTTGTTTGCGGGGGCTGGAGAGATGGTTCAGAGGTTAAGAGCACTGGCTGATCTACCAGAGGTCCTGAATTCAATTCCCAGCAACCACATAGTGGCTCACAACCATCTGTAATGAGATCTTGTGCCCTCTTCTGGCCTGCAGGTAAACATGCAGGCAGAACACTGTATACATAATAAATAAAATCTTTAAAAAAAATTTGTTTTTGAGAGAGGGTCTTATCATATACCCTTGGCTGGCTTGGAGCTTGTTATATAGACCAAGGTGGTCTTGGATGTTCATCAATTCTCCTGCCTCAGCCTCCAAAGTAACTGAGTTCCAGACATGAGCCACCATATTCTACTCTTTATTTGTTTCTCTATGTAACAGCTGTGACTGTCCTGGGACCCACTATGCAGGCTGACCTTGAACTCAAAGAAATCCACCTGCCTCTGCCTCCTGAGTGCTGGGATTAAAGGCATGTTCCACCACCACCTGGCTACCATACTTTTCTTTTTGTATTGTATTGTATTGCATTGTTGTTATTATATATGTGTGCATGATGAGCTTGTGTGGGGTGTATGTGCCATAACGCGAGTGAAGGTGAGCAGAGAACTTTGCAAGGTTTATTCTCTCCTTCCCCACTTCCATGGGTTCCAGGTACCTAATTTAGGTCCCCAATCTGGCGGACGCTATTTGTTTGTATAGTTAAGGTTAGTCTCAAACTCAAGATCCTCCTTTCTCAGGCGACGCAGGTTCTTAGCTCCTTTGTGGATTTTCACAACCCTCTTCCGAGGAGTAGAACATTCCCTTGGGACCCTAAAAGTCACGCAGTCCACTACAATCTGCCTGGACACCAAGACCTTCCGGACTTGGGCTACACCCCTAGTTTTGACGTCAGACCTGCCCTAGTTTTGGTCCCGCCCAGCCCCGCCCTCCCAGGTCCAACGCGCATGCGTTCCTGCACTCGAAAGCCAATCTAGCTGGGTAGTGTTCGTGGCAGTGCCTTCTATAACTGAACACTGGCAACTGGCTTGTGAATGTTCGATTTACCGTCTCTTAGCCCTATCGCTGGTGTTTGGTGTGGTATTGTGGTGCGACGGAAGTTGGATCTGAGAGCTATCTTCTACTAACTCCGTCCAGTGCCTTCGTCAAGTTGCTTATCCTTTCCTAATCGGCAATAGTGATCCTTTCCTAATCGGCAATAGTGAACTGAGATGATGTGGGAAGCTCTGGGGTAGGGTAGAATCTAGCCTGCCGACTCTGTCGCCAGTTGGAGTCTTTGGTGTCACTTGTTCTCTAGGCATCTCTAAATTTAGTCTTTTCTCTCATTTTCTCTTTTGCCCTCTACTTGTTACTTTTCCTTTTCTGGATCTCTCAGGGTGCATTACTGTGGTCCAGCATCCTCCTGAATCACTGGAGTCAGCTGCTGGAAATCACGCTCTCTCAGCCTCTGGAGAGGGATCGACAGGACAGGGCGAGGCAGGTGACTGGATCAGAACCTGGACAGGGTCAAGCCTAGAGCTCTCTGACTTCCATCTTGGCCTGGACGCCTATTTCTGTGACCTGGAAATATGTACCCTACGTGGAAGAGGTAGGGCTCTACATCCAGTGGGTATGAAGCATAAGTTGCAGCCTGTACCTAAGTCACACTCAGCAAAGTTGGCATGGAGGGAATTGGAATCTCCCTCACCTCCCAAAGTATTACATCATTTGAAGGGCCCTATGCAAATAAAATAGTAAGCCTCTAGGCTAGAGAGATGGCTCATTGGTTAAAAGTATCTACAGCACAATCATGGGGCACTAAGTTCAGATTCCAGTAACAAGCCAAGCTGCCTGTAACGCCAGCTCCAAGGGATATGATGTTCTCTCTTCTGGCTCTAGAACACAAACACCTTCCAGTTGAACACATACATACACACACATATGTATTTCCAAATAGTAGACTCTAGGCTGGAGAGATGACTCAGTGCTATCTCTGAGAGCATCTTTAAGAGCACATACTGCTCTTACTGAGCAGTTAGATTTCTAGCATCCAAATTCAACAGCTCACAGCCTCCCAACTTCAGCTCCTGGAGAGCCAATGCTTTCTCCTGACCTCTGAGGGCGCCGCACTCGAGAACAAACAAAAATCAGGTATTGGGGATATGGCTCAGCAGTTAAGAGCATTGACTACTCTTCCTGAAGACCTGGGTTTAATTTCTAGCATCCATGTGGTGGCTCACAATCTGTAACTCCAGTTTCAGGGATCTGCTTATTTTTTGGCCTCCATGGACACTAGGAATGCATATGGTACACAGACATACATGCAGGCAACACACACTAGCCAGTTATAGCGGTGCACAACCTTAATTCCAATACTTGGGAGGTAGAGTTTGAGGCCAGCCTGTTTTACATATGAGTTCTCAAGACAGCCAGGGCTACAGAGAACTTTGTCTCCAAAAATAAAACAAAACAAAAACCCAATAAAAAAATTCAAAAACATTTTGAGACAGGGTTTCTCTGTGTAGCCCTGTCTTGGAACTTGCTCTATAGACAAGATTTGCCTTGAATTTACAGAGATCTGCCTGTCTCTGCCTCCTGAGTGTTGAGATTAAAGGTGTGCACCAACACTACCTGGCTAAAATGAAAACTTCCATGATTTTTCATTAAATTATGTGTATCTGCATGTGAATGAATGTAGTTGCCCTCAGAGGCATCAGATGCCCTGGAACCAGGAGTTACAGATAGTTGTGAGCTGCCTGAAATGCTAATGGGGAACTGAAAGGGTCCAGTACTTGCTGGAAGAGCAGCAAGTACTCTTAACCACCATGCTGTCTCTAATCTCCAAATGAATACAACTAAGCTTGTAATCCCACCTATTTAGAAGGCCAAGACAGAAGGATCACAAATTCAAGAACTAACCTGGACTACTGTGATGAGTTCAAGGCCTGAACAACTTAAGTGAGACCATCTCAAAATCAATATAAAAACAGGGGATGTGGCTAGCCTAGTACGTACAAAAACCTGATTTGAACACTCATCCTGCCCCAGTACCATAGAAGTTTAAAAAAGCCTTTACCCACTGAGACATCTTCACAGGTCCCAGTCTCTGTTGTACTAACCAAGTCACTTTGGACAAATTATTTACATGTCCAGTTTCTCAATTTTCAAAAAAAAAAAATGTCATGTGTATTGTGCTTTTGCCTGCATGTATGTCTGTATGAAGGTTTTGGACACCCTGGAACTGGAGTTACAGTTGTGTGGCTGCTGGAAACTGAACCTGGATCCTCTGGAAGAACAGCCAGCACTCTTAACCACTAAGCCATCTCCCCAGCCCCCATTTCCTATCTTTAAAACAGGACAGAGGATTATCATACTATATATAAAGTATTTGTGGTCTTGGATGTCCATTGATCCTCCTGCCTCAATCTCTGAAGTAACCAGGTTCAAGACATGAGTCACTGTATCTTTATTTTCCCTTTTCTGTTCTGAAACAGGGTCTCTGTGTAGCCTTTGCTATCTGGGAACCCACTCTGTAGACGAGGCTAGCCTTGAGCTCAGAGATCTGCCTGCCTCTGCCTCCTTAGTGCTTGGACTAAAGGCACGAGTCACCACTGCTTGGTCACTTGCTTTTTCAACATTCTTTAAAAATGCATGTATGTGGCTGTGTGCAGGCCTTAGTCTATATGTGGAGGTAGAGTACAAGATGCAGGAGTCAGTTCTCCGCACGGGCTCCAGGGATTGAAAGCATCTCAGCTGCAGGTGCCTTCACCTGGGACAATCATTGAAATG